TGATTATAAGGTAATAAGGATGGAGGTATTTATACTAGGAGAACATACCGATGCTCCAAAAACAAATCATGAGTCCCGTTGGGGCTTCATACGATTTCAACTCGAAAGTCATAATGAATCGATCGATCATTAAACGGGCAATAAGCGGCAAGAAAATTTTGTAGAAAATACAAGACAGTGTAGATTAAAGTTTCCGCGGATATAAAGAGCCCAATGATATCCACTATTCTCATCCTTGTTAAATCATCGACTCATCAAGACGAGTCGAGTTGGTAAAAAAAATAATATCTTTTTCAAAACTTTCAAAGAAGATAAAGTTTTCACGACTTGCTTTCACGCCTTTGATTGTCGCCTTTCGATAACTTTCCAAATGTATTTAGGCTCGCCGTGACATAAAAATTTTTTCCGCAACAGTCATGGTAACTCAACTATTATCCATAAAAACGTACGATTGACTATTCGAGCGTTATATAAATATACAGATAGAATGGTTCCTGCTTGCGCGCTTAAGCCTCCCAAGAGAGAGAGAGAGAGAGAGAGAGAGAGAGAGAGAGAGACAAAAAATACGTATCAAAGGAAACAGGCACAGCCTTTCCATTATTGCGAATAGAAAATTTTAAATAGTTTTTAACTAACTTTCCATCGTCTTGCACAAGAACAATATTTAACTGTATTCTCTTATTATTATCCTTCATGAGATAAGTAAAATTATATTGTTATAATATTATTTAAAAAATATATATTATATTTAAACCATTTCAATTCCATTTTCACATGCTTAGATTGAGAAAAATATGTGATATTTAATGTGCATAGTCTTAAGAATATGTAAAAAAGATAAACCCCCAATATTAATAATAACAATTTTACTTTCAAAGAGCACTTTCATTGTGAAAAGGTGCAATTACATCCTTAACTGCAATTATATAATGAAAAATTCAATATTTTTTAGTTGTCTAATATCGTCGGATTAAACAGTTTTTAGAAGAAGTTTTGTATGTCACAGCAAATACATTAAATTCCAAGACAGTCGATCGAAATGAAAATTTAACATCATATTATCAATTATGCTTAATTCTGCAAAAATTCTGAATTTCTTCAGTTCAAGCCGCCCAATTAAAAGTCAAACAAATGTTAAAGACATCACTAGACAAAAAATCCAGTCGATCGAATATTCTTCAATTAAAAGATATTTCCTGCGAATGTTCACATACTTCGATATAAATTTTGGATATAAACTTTAAATTATGTAATTACAACTCATAACAGTTTTACACGTTTCAAATCAATTTCATATAATTTATTCATAAAATATAGAGCTTCATCGAATTCATCGGAGTTAATTCTTTAATTATTGTATTGAGAATAACGAATGAAAATATCAAAAACTGTTTCAAATAAAAAGCACATAATTGCCGAATAAAATATTATAAAGAAATAAAGAAGTAAAAAAAAAAAAAACTTGAATCGTACTAAAATAACGACTAAAATTACTTAATAACAATTTACAATAAATGAAAAACATTAGCTGAAATCGTATAAAATATATGACTTAATTTATTTATCCTTATTTTATTGCTATTTGTGCGCAATAAATACTTTATTGAATAATGGTTAATAAGTAATAGACAAACGTTTATGTTTAACGATAATATTATTATTTAAATTAATATAATCTTTTCATTATATATAATAATAGGTAAATTATTATAGATTACACTAGCAATAATATATATATATATATATTACATGAATATTTTTTTTTGTTACCATTAGTTTTTGGACATTTACAACTACTCTTTCAACTGTTAAAGGATATTTTTAAAATTCACCAAGACAAATTAACGTTACTTTAGTTCTCCTTCGTATCGATCTAACTAATTATTATATATAATATAGTTATATTATTATATGATATTATCAATTTGTTATAATTACCGAAAACACTAAAATATTCATAAAAGCTCATTAATCAAATCTAGTAGCACCATCTATTGGATGTATTTGTAAATTTTATAAAAATTCACAGTCACCATAAAAATCAATATCTTGCACGTTGATAAAGGTGATATCTTCACGATCGTAAGAAGCAAATATGATAAATTGACACCTACGACAGTTACCAATCATCGAAAAAAATGTTCGTAAATGGTAGTGAAAGGCAAATTTTTATGCTGATAATATATAAAACTATTCTTATTAATATAATAATTTTTATATAATAATTTTAAGAAAAACGGAAAAATACAGATTTTTACATCAATTATATAAATATAATATTGGTTAGTATTGGTGAAAATGTAACTAATGTCTATTACATACTTGGATATAATATATAATCAAATTATTTCTTTCACCAAACAATAGTCCTTTTTCAAATTATTACACTTGAATTTAGAAAAGTGCAATTAGTTTGATAATTAATTTGTAAAAATAAATGCTACACATAAATGAAATGATATAACATTCATAATACTCAAATTATTAAACTGAAAAATTGATTTAGCAAATTTAAAAAAAAATAATTACAATAAAATTTATCATTAATATTTTAATTATCATTGCTGACATCTTTCATTACAGAAACATTGTCATTTAATTCGTATTAAAAAATACAAATAATTATAATTTTCATAGTTATACATAAAATATTAATATTATCCAAATGAATTGAAATAGAATTTTTTTAAAATTATCTTGTTATTGTTATTAATATTACTTATAATATTTCTAGTATATCGATTTATTATAAACGAAATAAAAAAAATTGTAATTAAGTACAAAGTACAAATTTTAAATAATATTAAATAGTGAAAACATTTATTATTGTATGATTCGTTAGATTCAACAAATATTACAATATTTATTAGAAATATTTACCTAACTTTCGTATAGATAATGTGAATAAAATTTATACGCTTATATAATAAAATAATATGGCTCACCTATTTTGAGAAATAAATAAATACTAATTTATTTATTTATATTGTAAATTATATTTTATTGAAAATTATTGTATGCTGTCGTGTTTCCATAATAGTAATATATTTTTCAATAATATTATAGGGATGTTGCAATGATTCAGCATATTGATCGTTTGTGATGAACTGTTTTACCAAATGTCAGTAACGCTAAATTTGTACTTAAATTATTCTGATTAAATTGTGATTATTTCATGAAACATTATATAGGTCAGTTTCAGTTATTTTAAATAAATATATGCGAAAAAAACTTCATCACTTTTGTAAATACGAATCTACAATTTACAGTACGCCAATCAATTTATTTCGTCACTTAGATAAAAAGAAGTTTTGATTTTTAGATATTTGACTATTAAAGATAATTCGGTTCGACTTATATCAAATGAAGAAACTAAGTGCAATCATTAACACTATGATACTTTGATATTACAAAAAAAAAAAAAAATCAATAATTAGCTTAGTATGAGAAAATGAAGTATAGTATAAAAAAAAAAATAATAAAAAGTGCTTATTAATATATATATATATATATATTTTTTTTTTTTCTTCTTTTAATAGTTTATGTATAATTAACATAATTTATGAATGATATAATTTATGTCACATATTACAGAAAAACACAATTAAAGTAATTAAATACTATTTTAGGTTATAATTTGTTTGTTTCTTCCTTGGATAATTTAGTTATTTGATTAGGTACATAATCAGGCATAAGGTTTATTGTAGGCCGTATCTTATGATTTTAACCTTTACAGTTTCTCTCTCTCTCTCTCTCTCTCTCTCTCTCTCATATCTCTCTCTCTCTCTGTCTCTGTCTCTCTTTTTCTATTGCTTTTCTATCGAATCGTATTACTCTGTTGCCTAGTAAACCTACTATTATCTTCTTCTAGTAAAGTACTTTCAATTACAAATCTGCACTTATTGCAATACGGTAAAAGCCGTCTGCAGTAAAAACATTATTGATGTAAAGTTAACCAAATTTAAAAATATAATAAAATTTCAAAACTCTGTTTGAACTTTTCTATTTATGTCGTTACTCATTTATAGCCATTAAAGAATTAATTATAAAAAATATATATGTTTATATATTATGCATATAATCAAAATTAACTATACTTGTTTATTTATTTTTAAGTTTGCTGAGAAGAGAAGAAAAATGGAATTAAAAAATAAAATCTTACGCACATAGATTTCATATCAATATTAATATATAATTGTCTCACGACGTAATGCACATTGTTAATTAATGAAATTTCTTTACATTTTGAAATTTTACCACTATTACTTATATATGACTTTTTCAATCCTAAAATAGCGAATAAATTATTTCCACGTTTAAGCTTTTCATAAATAATGATTTTCGTGCAAAGAATATTCTCAGACTGTCTAAATGAAATTATAAAGCGATATTCTAATAGATAATTTTACCGATCAAAACTTTTCAAATGTTTCTTCTAATAACTTCAATAGTAAAAACCTCAAAAAATAATGGAAATACTAGCGATAGCCGTCCTAGCAACAAGAAATGATCAGGTGAATTCAGAATTATCTGCCTAAGGGGCAAAATGGAAATAAAAAACATACTGACAAGTTTTAATACTGACGCATCGCATTTATTAAATTATTAATCATTACTCAATATATCATAGGTACAATATAGTTGTGCATTGCAGTTTCATAAAAAATGTTATGCCTCGTAGCTTATTACGGTACAATGATATTCATACGATAATAATTTGGTATCTTCATAAAGTCACCGTGCAATGGCAACTCGCGCATTATTGTTTTATAAATAAATTAGTTTTGTGTGTGTGTGTGTGTGTGTGTGTGTGTGTGTGTGTGTGTATGTATGTGGCGAATGAGAAGATGCGAATCTAATATTAAACAAAATCGTATATATATATTTTTCTTCTTATGTATATATAAATATATATATTTCAGCTTTTAAAATTAGACTTACAGTCTCCAATTCGCCATTATTAGTCATATATATATATATATATATATATATATATATATATGTATGTTGTGTCCTATTCCAACGTTCGTCCTTTCTTACACTTTCTTTCATGCTCTCTTTCATCCAAATCCCATTTCATTTTCCATTTTATTTTAGTAATTTTTTTCTTCATTTCTTCAACTTGTTCAGCTTCGATCTCTGCTCATATTTTTTTTATCTTTTTACATACAATTTTTTAAAGCTTTTTGTACCAGAAGAGATAATGCTCGCCGTCACTGATGTGCAGATCATCTACTCCTGTAAGCAAATTATCTCAATTTTAATGGATAAGAATTTTTTTTTCTCCCAAATTTATAATAAACTCTAGTAAAATATTTTCTGAATAACATTCAATCGGCATTGAAATAAATTTTTGTTCAAAGTATGTTAAAAATTTAGCAATTTCATCCAAATAATCAACTTTCAAATTAATTTTACAGTTACTATATAATATTTAGCTTTTTTTTTTTTTTTTTTTTTTTTACAACATATCATACATTTTTTGTATAAAATTTTTCTTATATCAAGCTGCTGAACATCAATTCATTAATATATTGATTTCAAAATAATTGCAAACTTACTGTATTGTATAGTTATTACATTATTAAATAAATAAAGAATTCAAATTAAATTATACGTAGTTGATCCTAATGACAAATTTATATAAAATTTCATTTTATATCATAAATGTATTTTTATAAAATCAATATAAAATTCTTTCTTTATTAAGCATATATCTGTATATTTATTTGCTGAAAACAGTATTAACAAAAATGTACTAATGTGAAACTATGTTTGTTGTCGTTTATGTTTAAATAATATGAATGGCCATAAAAATGTTAATCGCTCGCATTCGTTAAATTTCAACTCTTTGTCAACTACAATGTCCTACATATAAGGATATTCGTAAAGAAATTGATTAATTTTTTTTAACGTTTTTAACTGTTTAATATTAATATGCAAAAATGCAATAAGTAAGCACACGTGATTTATATTTGGTTCAATCAATATTCTATCCGTAGACCTTAGGAAAATTGAATAGGTCAGTTTGAAAATGCATTGATTAGACACTCTATTGTACGAGTAAAATTTAAAGAATTAACGAAACGTAAGTATAGAGATCGACGTACAATAATAATTCAGTACAAGAAAAGAATTTGTAAGGAAGAAAAAGCGGAAGGGGGAGTCGCATATAAAGAATTGGTATGGGGATTCGCAGTGCCAGGAGAGAGTTAAAAAAAAAAAAAAAAAAAAACAAGACGAGAGTGCGGCAGTTTGACCATTCAAAAGGCATGAAAAATCTCATTGAACTGGACTGAATGGAACATTGAAAAGCCCATAGAAATGTGCAAGATCAAATATCGATGTCCCACCTCCCGGAGCGACGAATTGATTGCCAGGCGGAAAAGCGGGTTTGGGCGGCGACGGCAACCTGTACAGCAGCCAGTAGTGATAGAACATGGGCTCCTCCTTGTATCCGGAGAGAGTGTGAACGTAGTGACCATTGGGCCACTCGTAGGCCGAGAACTGAAAGTTGGTCGAGCGCTCAGCTGCGAGTACCATAACTCCATAAAAGCTCTCGTTACGTGGTGCGGCGAGAGTCAGATTGTGGATCTCGTAGACGTCGCTGCCGACCCAGAGAGTGTAGGTGACGTTCACTAGCTGACCACTGGACGTCGATGACGCGCTCGATGCAACGACTGACTGATGCTCGGTCGAGACCTCCGTGCCCGGGCTCGAGGGACTGCTCGAAGTCCTCGAGGTCGTCGTCGGCAGCAGCGGTGATGTCGTCCTCGTGCCGCTGTTACGGTTCGGACTCGCCGAGAGCGGCGTCTCGTCACCTAGTAGAACGTCCAGTCAAGGGAATTCAGTACCGATGCTCGAAGAATATTGTCGATCGACGCTCTCAAACGCGATTCTAAGCTTTTTATCCGTTTATCCTTTAAGTGTTCATCCTCGTCAATTTGCTTTCGTAATCGAGCTCAGTTCCGTCGATGGGAAATATATTTCTATAGTTAACGAAATCAACGAATGGATATAGTGTAGCGATTATAATAATAATTTTGATCCCCGCTAATAATGCTCGTTAAATGGAACGAATTTGAATTTGATCGGTAACGTGATTTCCTAATTACCGATTAACATGGTTTTTAGTACGTTTAATATCCCATCCCAGTCTGTTCATAATAAAGTATCTCGCTTATATTCCCAAATTATAATAATAAAATTACGTGTAACTGCTCTTTCATCGCGCGCGGAGGGAATCTTTCGTTCTTTTTTCTTTTTTCTTTCGTTCTTTTTTTTTTTTTTTTTTTTTTTTTTTTTTTTTTTTTTTTTTTTTTTTTTATAGATAATATAATGTTTGCTAGATAGTGATAATGAGAGACTCTTTCCTAAGAGCGGGCGTGCCGTTCGCAAAAGTCATGGAAAATGTACGAAAAACAAATTTTCACCTCGAGTCTTCATGAATATTCTGATACTCGAGCTAAAATACCAATCCCTTAAGAGCAAAGAAAAAACCTTTGACTAATGCGCGCGATTTTTCCGCGTCCAAGGTTTAGAAATTTGCAGCGATGAAAGCAGCGCATATCAAGCGAGTCCGCGCGTAATTTTCGTACTTGGTAAATCCCAAAGTTACGCTTACCGTTGACAGTGACGAATTTGGGCGGCGGACTATCGGTGAGTCCCTGGCCACAGTCGAGGCTCCGTACGCTGGAGAGGCTTCGGGGTGAGAGCCCGAGGACGACTTCGGCAGTGATCTGAACGTCACCGTCGTAGGAGCCGTCGGGCTTCTGTCGGGCGGCGAGCCAGGCGATGGCTCCCGATCTATTCCAGCTGCCGTGGGGCTCGTTCTCGACTTCCTCGAGGGCCTGCATTGCGAGGGCGGTGCCGCGCAGCTCGCCGAAACTGCCGTCGCGACGCTGTCGGTGCGCGAGACTCACCGAGGGCTTTCGCACAAAGTGCTGGAGGTTGCGATGCCGGTGGTCTTGCACGATGCATCGAAGCGTCATTATACCCATCGCCACCGTCTCTGTGAACCGACCATTGTAATTTTGAGACTTTGGTACTAATTTATTAATAGTTTAGTAGATGAAGGTATTGCTATTTATCGCTGCTCGACCATTCGAACCGAATGGTAATCGATGCTTATCACCAATTCTCCAAATATATGAATGTCATTTGTTTTTTCACATTGCGTTTAATATAATGACTGTCAATACTAAATTAGCTTATTCTTTATTTTGAATGATGAAAGATGTATTTTCCCCAAATCTAATCTAATCGCTCGATTAAATAGGAAACTGCATTTTTCGTATTAGAAACTCAATACGTGAGACTGTGTGGATGATATATCGAACGAATGAATTTCATAAATTTCATAGAATAACCAAACGACGTCTATGTGCTGAAGTATCAGTGCAGTAAAAATGAGGAATGTGAAAGGTACTTTTTAGGCACAATTTCAATTGTTTTATTTGACATATTTACACTTAACGATGGATCGATTAGTAAATTTCTTTGGATTTTTTAATGCGTTAAATTGATATTCTTTTGATATTCTTTATCTTTTTGCTTTTATATTTGACGGTACTGTATAACTGAATATATCATATATATATATATATATATATATATATATATATATATATATATATATATACATATATTGTTATAATTTATTATTATTTAATTGGATTTTATAAGAGTGAATATAAAAGGATTATTGCCAAGGAGAAAGAAATATAAGCTTTTAAGAGCAGAAACCGAATTGTCGTATAAAAGATCGAGCAGTCGAATGATTGAATTGCAGATAATAAATGTCATGCAAATCACAGCTGAACTTCATTTAATTAAATAATTCTAGAGTAAAAATAATTGCTTATTTTAAGACTTTCTCATATGTACGTAGTATATTAAAATTCAATACTTTCAATTTGTTAAAAGATTCTTATCTTTATGCCTTATTTCAATTATATCTGGCAAAAAAAAAAAAAAAAAAAAAAAAAAAAAAAAAAAAAAAAAAAAAAAAAAAAAAAAAACAAGCAATTTAAAAATTATAATTGTCCTTTTAAAATTCTATAAACTTTCTTTATCATTCCGTAATAGGGCTCACCCTTGTAATAAAATGATATCGCACTGCATTAAAGCCCCACTACCGATATTATCAACGAGTGATGTACGTGCAAAGTATATGTCGGATAAAGTACCCATCCCTAACACATATTTATCAACTTTGTATTCAGTTCGTGCAAATTATTACCCTAACATTATGAATAAAAGGTAACTATAGCTACCATGAATTATTGAATTCAGCTCGTATATGCGCGACGAATGAACCATATGCATGGTAACGCAGACTCGGGCATTTATGCATTTTGTATGCCGATATGACAAGGGATAATCATTTTCCACCCAAATGCTATTTTTAACTTTGAATTTATTAATTAATGTATATATATATATATATATATATATATATATATCTTATATATGTAGAGGTTGTTAATCTATTTTTAATAATTCAAGCCATTAGACGACAGTATTTTTTGTCTTGTAAATCTCATTGCAACGTAGAGGAATATCGTAATTGTATTTCGAACGAGTCGTTGGCTGGTACAATTACGTTTTGCAGTCACGTACTCGTGTA